AGGAGGAGGAGGAGGAGGAGGAGGGGGAGGAGGAGGATGGGTAGACGCAGGAGACGGAAGCGTCTGCTCTGTTCCGACACTAAAGCCCCCCGATGTCGCCCATAGCACGTGGGCTGCAAAGGGGGGTAAGGGGGAGGGGGGAGCTTGTCGCCCGATGCCGCTTGTCGGAGACAGCAACAAAGTAAGAGCGATCAGTGCGCCTGGGCGTGGCGCGACGTAGCGGGGCGCGGCGGGGAGAAGCGGGGCGTAGCGTGGCGGGGCGGGGCGCGTAGGACGGGTGCGATCGCATGATCCGCTTTGGGCAGACCGCTCGGTGGTTCTCCGGCCGCGGCTCCCACAACAGGATATGCTGCCAAATAGTATACAAGCTAAGTGTACTGGGCGGAGAGCCGCGGAGAGCACGAGACGCTCTACACCCTGGCCACCGCAGACTCAAGGAAACGCACGTAACGTTCCTGCCACCCCCCCCCCCCTCTCTCTCTCTGTAACAACTTTTCTGCAATGCCACAGAGCGTCACACGAATGCAGACGCGTTGACCTACGGCAGAGGTGGGCTGCTGGGCAAGGTGCCAGGAGGGTGTAAGCGTCCCCCCCATCCTCCACACACACACCGGAGGGAGAGGGGAGAGGTAACATAATAGCAAAGCTCAGTGCTAGGGCTAGGGGCTTCGATGCATGTTCGAAAGAAAGACGCACCGTCTACAAAACAGACCTGCATCGAAGTCGAGCAGGTGCAGTATATGTTGTCGGCATTTGTCGGATACGTTTCAGTCGTTCAGGTTTGTTGAGTCCTCGTTTCTCGGTCTTCCAGGTGACGGCCCAAGCCCTGGGGTCCGCCATGGCCGCGCGGGGTTCCACCGTCCGAGTCAACGCCGGGACGAGGTTCACGCACTGCTCGCAGGTGAGTCACTCAAATCCAGACGGAGAGAAAAGTTCCGGCCAGACAACAAAACTGAGTTTGGATTGTTCCTTTTACCAGTACACCTAATCAGTTTCGGTGTCACACCGAAACCTTTAGACTCTGCACCACAACCTTTGGACTCTGTACCAGGACCTTTGGTGACCACTCATGTAAATGTTTGGATAGTACTTTTCTATCAATTTTGTCCAAACTTTTGGGTGTACGGCCCGAACTTTTCTCTCCGTGCAGACGTTTTTCTTCCTCCTATCCTGCTTCCTTTTCCCCTTATTGCTCCTGTTCATGCTCCTTTTCTTCGTATAGTAGTTCTGAATACGCACCTTAATCTTTTCTGCCATGCTCATCCGGCTGGGAGGTGCCACCGTGGTGCCTCCGTGGTAACCCCTCTGGAAGGACAAGCCTGGCCAAGTCCCACCCGCATCCCCGCATCGCAAGGCCTGGGCAGGCC